CGAGTTTCACAATTTGAGTTGAATTACTGAAATAAATGAACTTTTCCACGACATTCTAATTTATTGAGATGCACATAATACATGCTAAACTCAAGTCCGACCGTCTCCCTCCGTCCGAAGGGCGCCGGGCCTGTATATATATATATATATATATATATATATATATATAAATTTACTGAAAACATTTTTTAATGGTTTAAGTTTTAGTGTTTTTGTTGTGTTTGTTATTTTGTCTTTTTTTTATATTTCTATATATCTTTAATTTGTTTTTATTTCAGTTTTACTTTTAGTAATTGTAGTACTTCAACTTCAGCTTATAACCGTATTAATGAAACTAAATACAGTGCAGTATTTGTACTAGACGTGCGTGAAATTAATGTGGAAAAAAAGAAGTGGTTACACACTGAAAAATCCAAAGTGTTGTGTCCCGCTCTCTTCATTTTCATGCACATGTTCGAAATTTTATTCGCATCTCCCTATCGCGCATATGACGGATAAAACGCTCGCGCCTGATGCTCACGATTGGCATCATCAAACCAAAAGTTCAAACGGGCCAAAAAAAAAAGTCAGTGTACTAGTTGTGAGACAGCCAGTCTGTTTGTCGTAATTGTTCATGACTCATAAATGATCGGCTTTGAGTTTTATATGATTGAGATTAGGTTGATCGCGATCAGACGCAGATGGACAGTGCTGCGCAGCTCAATTGCCCTCTCAACATCACACACTTTCTCTTCCTTTGTCGTTTGTGTTTTGAAGTGTTCATTGTTCATGACTCATAAATGATCGGCTTTGAGTTTTATATGATTGAGATTAGGTTGATCGCGATCAGACGCAGATGGACAGTGCTGCGCAGCTCAATTGCCCTCTCAACATCACACACTTTCTCTTCCTTTGTCGTTTGTGTTTTGAAGTGTTCGCAGATCTGGGTGTTGCTGACTAAAGAAACGGAAAGTGGAATAAAGCTGCTGTCAGACTGGAGAACATAGAGACGCATCTCGACACTCCGCTTGGATACAGAAGATCAACGCGGATAAACGTGTTTGAGGATGGAGGTATGATCTCGTTTTATGTATGTATTACTTTTAGCCTCTGGGTCCTTCAATAACAATCTTTTCAGATTCGACTGCGTAGTAAAATGAAAAACTGCTCAAGACATTTGGTTTAATAGCCTATATGAATTCATGTAAACGGAATGGATAAGTGAGAAACTGAAATCCAAGGGCTCACGTATTTATACTGACATTTAGGTAAAAGTTTACAATAACTTTGTAACATAAATAACTAGACACTTATGAATAATATTAATAATATCAATGTAGATGTCTAGAGTTGGAGAAGTAGAAGATTTATTGGAGAATAGTAGTAGCCTATAATATTTATTATCGTGACTACTCAAACTGCATGAGTGTGCTTTAATGACCTGTCAAGCCTTGTTTCAATAATATTAGTAAATGTCATTTAGTTATTTAGTCTTGGCTTTTACTGTTTTGTTCTGGACCATTTTAGGGTTGTTGCTTTTTGAGAAATGTATGAGACTCCCTCTGATGACAGCCCATGGTGTTTAGTAACTTTAAACAAAATTGCAAAGCTTATGAAATTAAAGATTATTATTACTATTTTTTTTTTGTTCATAGGAAATGAAAGAAGGTTTGTCTTTTGGTTAGCCCTGCTACTAGAATCATTTAATTTTGACCCATATGCCCTCCAAAATATCTGTTACCATAAATCAAAGTTAGTCCACAGTGGCTGAAGTGAGCTACTGCAGATACACTATAACGTGCTGGGAAAATGACTACTCAGACTGTTTTAACCCCAAATTACCACAAAGTGAGGCAAGAAGAGCCGTCTGCAGAATATGCTCTGTTTGAAAAGTAAGAGCTTTGATTTTTTTCTCTTAACCATAAGCATTAAAGCTCCTCACGTGGCATGTCCGCGGTTGGGTTGTTACTTCTGCAAGTGTAATCAAAGAGCATTCAACTCTTTCCTTGGTGTTCATTTTAAGGCCGTTAAAAAGGATGTGAAAGGAAGAGGTATGCTTTTCCACAGAATGTACATGTCTGCACTACCAGTCAAACGTTTGCACATACAAACACAAATCTGAATATAGATTTTTCATCATGATCATAAAAACCTTATCTAAATAGCGTTTGCTTTTACTTAAGGACTGAAAGTTTTGTGAACGAATGCAAATTTGGCCTGTATGATTTAACAAAAAAAAATAAAAAATAAGCCTATGCATGAAAATGACATATATATATATATATACTGTAAGGAATAATTGATGACAGGCAGTTGTGCATTATTTTTCAATAATTCAACAGAATGGAGTCAATTATTCCATTATACCATGCTTACCACACCTCAAGATATTGCGCATTTGTTTTATTTCAAGATATTTGTCTGGGTTTTGTCCTTAAAATGCTCTTGTGTGTACAACCAATTTTTTTTACGCATGTTGTTAATTCCAGTTATTGGAGAGAAAAATAGAGAGATTAAGTGAGTATGAAATAAATACATTTCTGCATTATTTTTCTAATAATTCATAATATATATACAGTATCTCACAGAAGTGAGTACACCCCTCACATTTTTGTAAATATTTTATTATATCTTTTCATGTGACAACACTGAAGAAATGACACTAGAAAATAATAGTTGAATTTATAAAAATGACCATGTTCAAAAGCTTACATACACTTGATTATTAATACTGTGTTGTTACCTGGATGATCCACAGCTGTTTTTTTATTTTTTGTGATAGTTGTTCATGAGTCCCTTGTTTGTCCTGAACAGTTAAACTGCCCACTATTCTTCAGAAAAATCCTTCAGGTCCGACAAATTCTTTGGTTTCCCATCATCTTTTGCATATTTAAACCCTTTCTAAAACTGACTGTGTGATTTTGAGATCCATCTTTTCACTACAACTGGGGGACTTACATGCAACTATTACAAGGTTCGCCTACAAACCCAACAGGTCAACTGAGGAAGTCATTGCCTTAGCTCTCCACATTGCCCTGAATTACCGGGATAAAAGCAACACTTATGTCAGAATGCTTTTCATTGATTTCAGCTCTGCTTTTAATGCTGTGATTCCATCTAAGCTGATCTCCAAACTCATTGACCTTGGCATCAGCCCCTCTCTCTGCAACTTGACCTTGGACTTTCTTGCTAACAGACCACAGTCTGTTGGACTGGCGTACCACAGCGCTGTGTTCTGGGCCCAATTCTCTACTCCCTTTTCACCCACGACTGCATACCTGTACATGGCTCTAATTCCATAATCAAGTTTGCAAACGACACCCACGGTGTTAGGCCTGATCAACGGCGATGATAAAACGGCCTACAGGGAGGAGGTTCAGCACCTGGCAGTGTGGTGTGCCGACAATAATCTCGCACTCAACACTTAGAAGACCAAGGGACTGATTGTGGACCCCTGGCGGACTAGGAAAGACCACACACAACCCCCATCTACACTGATGGGGCCGAAGTAGAGTATGTGTCAAGTTTCAAAATCCTGGGTGCCCATATCTCTGAGGATCTTTCCTGGACCCTTAACACCTCCACTATGATCAAAAAGCCGCAACAGTGCCTTTAATTCCTTAGGAAGCTAAGCAAAGCTCACCTGTCCCCCCACATCCTGCTAAACTTTTATCGATGCACAATTGAAAGCATCTTAACAAACAGTGTGGTATGGCAACTGCACTGTCCCAGACCAGAAGGCCCTCCAACGTGTTGTTAAAATGGTCCAACACATCACTGGTGTTCAGCTGTCCATCAAAGACGCTTACCTCTGCCTACAAAGGGTGAGAAGCATTATCAAAGATACCTCTCACCCCAGCCACAGACTGTTTATTATTCTCCCATCAGAGATATGTTATAGAAGTCTTCGTTTTCGCACTAGCAGACTCAGGAACAGTTTCTTCCCCTCGGCTGTCAGCCTACTAAACTCTAAATTTAAATGCTGAACACTCCATCCTACTCGGCCCAGCTAAAACGATCTATCTATCTATCTATCTATCTATCTAGCTTCAACTGTTATTATTTTTGCACATTCCTTTGTACATTCTACCTCATGATGTCCATTGCAGTGATATGGTCACTGACCATATATATTTACAAATACCTCATTCTGAATAATGCACCTTCTGTGTTTATACTTCTTCATTCTGAATAATGCACCTTCGGTGTTTCAAACTTCCCATTTGCACCCTACTGTCACATTATATTAATGTAGATTTAGATTGCACCTTGTACTGTATTTCATAGATAACTGCATTGAGCTGGTCTCTGCACCTGCCCCTCATAAATGTTTATTGTACATACACACACTTACATTTATATATATATTTATATATACATATTTATACTTATTTATATACATTGGCTAATTGCACGTCTGGTTAGATGCTAACTTAATTTCATTGGCCCTACTTATCTAATCTAAAATGTTAAAATGCTCACTGATGCTCCAGAAGGAAAAACGATGCATTAAGAGCCAGGGGTGTAAACTTTTGAACAGAATAAAGATGTGTGCATTTTTCTTATTTTGCATAAATATCATATTTTTTTTTCATTTAGTACTGCCCTTCAGAAGCTACAGAAGATACTTACATGTTTCCCAGAAGACAAAATAAGTTCAATTTACTCTGATCTTCAAATTCAAAAAGTTTTCACCTCCAGGCTCTTAATGCATCGTTTTTCCTTCTGGAGCATCAGTGAGCGGTTGAACCTTTTATAACAGTTGTGCATGAGTCCCTCAGTTGTCCTCAGAGTGAAAAGATGGATCTCAAAATGACAAACAAGGGACTCATGAACAACTATCACAAAACAAAACAAAAAACAGCTGTGGATCATCCAGGTAACAACACAGTATTAAGAATCAAGGGTATGTAAACTTTTGAACGGGGTCATTTTTATAAATTCAACTATTATTTTCTCTTGTGGACTATATGTAAATGTCTTTCATGTGAGATATCTTATTCAGGTCAGTACTAAATAAAAAATAACATGCATTTTGTATGATCCCTTTTATTTTGGTAAAATAATTAATATTTTTCAGATACTGCAAAGTGTATGTAAATGTTTGACCGCAACTGTATATATGTGTGTGTGTGACACCGTCACACAGGTCATGTTTTACCTGCTCAATATATTATAGAGCCATTTTATTCCTCTTACATTTTTTAATGTGTGTATGCCTTTAAACGATACTGGGTCTGCCTGTCATGTGACTGATCACACACACACACACACACACACACACACACACACACACACACACACACACACACTTTTAAGAGTGTAGATGAGTTTTTGTTTACAGAATTCCCATACTTTGTGCTTTCATTGTTACTATTATTCTAAAATGTAGAAAATAAATAAAGAATGAGATGGTGTGTTCAAACTTTTGATTTGTGTTAGTGTACATGGAAAGCATCAATCTGTTCATTTTTAATGGAAAGTTTACATAGATGGGTGAAATGAAGAGAGAGAGAGTGAATGATGACAGGGAGGAAACACAGGGAGGGTCATTCTCATGAGAGAAAACTCTTCTGTGTAGCATGACATTGACCAAGTGTAATATTGTAAAGAGAAGAAGAGCTTCTCAGAGTCACATCACTGCAGAAAGCAAGACCATGTGAGAAAGTCTTGAGGAAAATCCCACATACCATTACACTTAGAGAAGTGGGAGTCCCCTCTGCTTGAGCATGTTGCATGTTGTGGAAGAAGGAAAGATAACACAGTGTAACTGAAGATGTAAGAAAGTAGACTGTACTCACCAAATAAATAGGCCATGTATCATATTATGTTATATTTTAGTAAGCCAACAATCTTTCAAGTGCTATTGGATGCTGGCACAGTCAAATTGTGTCCACTGTCACAAATGCAGTTATTACAAGAGCACCGGTCATTTTATTTCAATATATAGAAGTTTAACGGAACAGTTCATCCAAAAATGTAAATTGTGTAAATATTTATTCTTATCCACCCTCATGTCATTCCAAACCCATATTGTTACGGGTGTGCTGGTGTAAAACAACGAACACGAAGA